TTTTTTTTTTTTTTTTTTTGCATGAGAACATGATTCATCTTCTGTTTTGGAACCTTCTTTCATTCTCTTATTTGACGATTTGACTATATTACTAGTAGACGTTTATTTTTTTCTTAGTTTTTGGTATTCCTTTCTTCTGTTTGCTGGTTTTCAGGGGCAGTAGGCACACTTTCTGGTTCTTTCCAAATGGGGTTTTACCTGAGCCAGGATATATCCAACTCAAATGTTTAGCAAATAACACAAAACATTCTCCAGTTTTCATTTTTTCCCATTTGAACATCTTTTTATATATGAAGGAATATAAGCATGAATCCGATAAATCCTCAGTAAAATGCATTGGCAAATTTTTTCTACTTTTTAGATTATGCCACAGACATTCAATTTTCTGAGTACGCATATCAGTTATAGGGTCCACAAAATTTTCGGCATGTTTTAGTCTTATGCACAATTTCAATACCTTCTAAATCGTCTATGTGATTACACCCCTTCCACTCATCCACATTTACAGTGCTTCCTGAATTTACATATTTTGAAATTACCCAATTAAGTGTGTTCACTTCTGTCATTCACTTTGCATACAAAGCATGTGTTGTCTTCACAAAAAACACCTCCAACTACCCGACGAGTATCCTTCAAGTTACATCCCTTCTCAATTTCCTTTTGGAAATTATACTTTCTATCAATTTCAACTATTTTTTCCTATTTAGGACTACCTATTTTCAATTCATGATGATTTCTGTAAGTAATATGTCAAACGAGCCTTATGTAATTCGCCCAATCCATGGCAGTGTGTTTACTAATGCCTACAGCCAAACACTCAATACATAACAAATGCCAAATAAAGGAAAATATATCTTCCCGAATTTTCCTTTGAATGTCCTGTCAAATGCCAAACTGTTCATTTACAATGCTACAGAATTACGCTCTTTTCTGTAAATTAATTTCCAGTGAAACAAGCAATTAGTACAAATATCATCTGTGTTGCAGATCAAGTTGGATAGCTAATTTAATGTCTGAATACATTCTTTTATCAACTTCTAAATGAGCAAATTTGGATTCTAACATGCAAAAGAAAACTCTCAAATTACACTTTTTCCAAAAGTCTTTGGACAATTTCACTCCCTCTGACATTATTTTGTTAAATGAATATTAATAATTTCTAGGTTTGTTACAATTTAACTTCAAACAAAAAAAAAAAAAAAACACAAACTTTCAAATAAAATTAACGCTGTACCTTCTGTTAAAATTAATCTGAAACTCAAAAATTTGCATACTTCTTCTTTGGGGGAAGTTGGACACTATTTGCATAGTAATATGTCAGTATGATAAGCACTATTTAGATCAGATTTCAAATCCTGCCTGTTGTCAAGATTCTGGAATCGTGGACATTGGGACTACCTAAGTAAACTTCTACCAAATTGTAATTGGCTGATAAAAATACATTTTGGCAGCAGCCACCACAAAAGGTATAATTCGGCCACACGTATGCATCCACTCTTATAGTAAGAGTGGATGCATCACATTGCATTCTTGCATCACACCAGTATAATAAGTCCTTAAATAAAGTAAGTTTCTTGTGAACTTTTTTAGAATAGATAAACCAAATATCCATATAGTGTTTTCAGAAATATTTTAAACAAAATGATGTAGGTTATTATCATAACTTGTAGATAACTAATAATTTAATTCATACAACAAATAAATTTATGAACTATATCAATTTATTTGTTGTACCCAATTTGAATATAAGTGAATGAAAATAAATAATTTTTAAATGTCTGTTTTTAAATTTAAAAAATTTTGTTGTTAATAATAATATAATTTATTAATTAAAATATTATAAACAATATTAAAAATAGTAAAACTTAACAAGCAAAATTCATAAATATATTTAAATAAATATGACTTTAAGGCTACCAAATCATTTTAAATATAAAGAATATTAAATATGAATCCTGCTAAGGCTACCAAATATTTATAAACAAATTAATGAGTTATTAATGTACTAGCAGATAAGTCCGGCGTTGCTTGGACAAAAAATAACAACAACAAAGATTATTATTATTACATTATAGCTGATGTTACCCGTTTTCACTGGGTGCAAGTATTAGGTCTCCCTTCTTCCCAGACTAATTGAACATACTTTTAGACCCATCTAAAAATTCTCTATTTCCTGCAAAAATGCAAAAAACCACATCTAAAATAGTATAGTAGAAGCCAAGTTCTTCAGGGTAATCCTTAATCCTCTCCCCACGAAGGGGGAAATTTCCTAAAATTCCTTCTTAGTGTACGTTCTCATGAAGTACTTTAACTGTGTACCAAATTTCAACTCCTAACCATTTGGGCTCTGCACTTACTGTATTATCAACCCATATCAATTATATTATAAGATAAAGCAATCAGTTAAATATATTGGGTAATTCAAGAGAAATAAACTACCTGATACTGGCCAATTGTCTTTTTTTTCTTCTCTTGGTTTATTTATGACTTGATTCATAATACTCAAGATTTTTGACTTTCCATCTAGCAGAAAAGAAAAATCTATGCTGAAAAAATTTAATTTTTAATGTATATTTTTTAAACTATATTCAATAGTCAAAGATAATTATTCAACTCATTGAAACTTATATTGTCGTCAGATTTGGCACCATAAATTTAGTAAATATACATTCTTTTTTTAATTTAATCTTTCTTTTTATATTAATTAGATGGCTGGATTTCCCTGATCCTTGCCAGTTCTGAATTGACTATAATGAAATTCTGGTTGCAACTTTATTATGTTTGCAAAAATAAGATTTTTTGATTTTACATAAATTGTTAGATAACAGATTTTAAAAATTATCTTATGTATAAACATTTATTTTAAAATAGTAAATTGCAAATTACAAAGGAGAAGATATAAAATTTCATTACCACTTCCTTGTTTCACTGCTTCCATTACTACTTTTAAAGGAAGTCCCAATAATTTAACATCTACCTAATGAAAAAAGAAAATTTATATATGCAATAATATTTATGAATATTGAAACTTATTTTAAATAAAAACAAATTTGTCAATTGTTGCTCATGACATTATTTAGTTAATATTTTAAATAGTATAATAATCTGATTTTTTTAAGATAGGAAACACAATTCTATATACATAAGTCTGGTCCCACAGGAGTTAATAAAAAAAAATCATCATAGACATTATTATTATTCTTTTACAGGTGAAGCACAGTGCCAAGTATAGAAGAACAAATTAAACTTATTTCCAGGGCTGTGGAGTCGGAGTTTTGGTGTTTTAGCCAGAGTCGGAGTTGTCAAAAAATCCGCCAACTCTGACTCTTTTTTACTTACAAACTTGTTATGTATATAAAACGGAAAAGTATTAGAGGGTCAAATTTGACACAATTCCAAGTCTTTTTTGCAAATCTACATGTTTGGAGATCTCCCAAACCCCCCAAAAAGTCAATAAAAGGGGAAAAATCATCTCAGAATGAGTAAGGTTTAAGAAACGAAATGTGGCACAGTAGCTTGTGTATAAAGGGGCATTAATAATATTAAATTTTGGTTCTTAATTAAAGGTCGACAGGGTGAAGACATAAAAGAGGTCATGTGTCATATATCTTAATGAATATTTTACACATTATTAGCATTCAAAATTTAAATAAATAAATAAAACTTGTCTCTACCCTCAAAGTAAGCTTTTTTGACATTTTATAATAGTACAGTGAAACCCGTTAAGATGTTCTCGCCTAAAATGTTAAGAATGTATATGGGGACACAATTTAGTTCAACCACTTTGACACTTAATAACTAACTCCTGTGTTAAACCATCTGACCACAGAAATTATTAGGCTTCAAACAGGGTGAACAAAATCATTCCCCACACAGTCTAACATCCACACATATAGAAAATAGCCTCGAATCTTTTGCATCTCTCTAAATTCAAAGTGTCCTGAGTCCAAATGTAAAAATTTGGGAGGGGACATTTTTCGACTAAGCACTACACTTTCCCTCTGTTATATATAACAGTCAGAAAAGTAAGAATTATCGAATACATATTTATATATTGACTGTGTCATTACTTAGAGGAGTCTTAGCTTTGGAATAAAAGGTTTCTACGTTCTATCTTTGTTAGGACTCTATTTATTGAATCTTTTATTTTGAGGTCATGTGATGACATCAGAATTTCCAGGTATCTTTCGGTAACAAGTCCACCCCTGGTCGGAGTCGGATGGTAAGGAAAAGTCGGAGTCAGTAGATTTTTACACAACTCCACAGCCCTGCTTATTTCGACATAGATGCAAAGTTGTCAGAGAGTTTAAAAAGACTACATCTGATTGACCAATGGAAAGTCCAAATGTGGCCTGTTAAACTTTTTTTGGCTCCACACTGGTGCAAATAACTTGGTGTCATGCTTTACATGTAAAGAATAAACAAACACAAAACTCCTATGGGGCCAGTTCTTATACGACACCCTGTATGTACATTGTAGAACTGTACTTAAAGTTAACTTTTCAGATCATTGCATGCCTGTAGTTAATTCAATTCTGCTTTCTTGTGGTAAATATTTTTAGTAATTAGAAATCATTAATAGTTTACTCTATACACTTGTTCAATAAATGAGGGTTTGGACCTCTGGACAGGTCCAAACCCTCACTGAAATTTGCATTAAAATAATTATTTTAAAAGAAAAAAAGTAGAAGCTAGCAATAATTTTTTTCTATGGAAACACAACACAAACTTTCAAACAATAGAAGAATGTAAGTCCTAAGATCGACCATCTCTGGTTGGGATCAAATTAAACTTCAATGTTGACCTCTCCTGCAGTCTAAGTTAAGATCTCATTACAGTTAGTAACAAGTGATCAACCATATAGAAAGTCATGAATGAGGAAAAGCAGCCAATAGGACTAAGCAATTGAGAATTGTAATTAACAAAAATGCAGGACGCAGCAGCTTCTTCTCCTAAAAGTTCCAAGTGTTGGACCAGTGTGTGTGTGTGTCTCGTGCCCGTCCTCAGATTGACATCTTCCCATCACAGGAAGTCAATCACATTTTCCTAGTCATTGAGATGTTGTGTTGCAGGAACTGTCATTTGCAAACTGGGACACTCCTTCATTTAGGACTATCTTGGAAAGGAGAGGAGGACCCAGAGCTCACTGCTGACTTAGAACTTCCAATATTGCGGAAATCTTGTAAACTCCTTTCGTGTAACATAAATGGTTTCTCGTAACCATAGAGTCCGTCTCGGTACCAATCGCCCACATATGACCCTTTGTAACCCTTCAATCCTCTTGACATTTCCACCCCGTCAGCAATCTTACAATAACATACAAGAGTTATAGAATAGATTAAAATTGTCTCTTCTGTATTCCAGACAAGCATTTTAACAAAGAATATGGGCAAATTGACTGATAAAGCTTTTTGACCTTAGTAAATATCTAAACTTGACATATTTCATGTACTTAACAGAAATTATTGTTTTAATTCTATAATTTCTTAAACATTTTCAGGACAATATACCTATGTAAAATATGTAACTGAACAATAAAAAATATTTTAATATCTTGTGCTTTTGAATACAAATATTTATCATTTCCAAAAATATTTACGAAGTTAAGGTTTTAATTTCTGTTTTTATAAATCNTGATGAAGTGGCCACATTAAACCAAATATAAAATTTTATAGACATTTGAAACATGTCGATTGAATTTACTATATTTTTTAATAAAACAATTACTTCCATACATTACAAAATCATTTATCAATATTAAACTTTACATATTATTAATAAATGATTTTTTTAACACAATGTGGGGGGGCATCAATTTTGCATTATATCTCAGGACTGGATGAAGCAAAAATTTTGAAACTTGGCAGTTTTTTTCTATATATGGAGCATTGATGTAACTAAATTTTGAAAGTCAACAGGTGGGGAGATAGAGAAGAGTCACATGTCATATATTGAGCAGAGTAAGACTTAATAAAAATTTTACTCATTAGAATTTACATTTTTTTAAAAATTCACCCCTACTCAAACAATAAGGTTTTTGTCTTTTAATATTATTAATTTGCAATAAAATCTCACAATAGTGGCACCACACAATTATTTAAACTTAAAGTAGAGAAAGTTATAATAATTCAACACAATCATTACTTTTAAGCTGTTGTTATCATTTAATTTTATATTGTAGCATGATTGAAAATTATCATACTTCCTTCCTGGTCTTCCTAACCTCCTATTTGAAGCCAGGAAAGTTGTGGAAGAGTTGTTTCCGGCTTTTTTTTCTCCTTGACGATCCCGGGATCATCAAGGAGAAAAAAGGAACATCTCAATTAATAAGATGATTTTACATAAATTCTTAATATGACAATGTCTTACTTAACTTGACATTCCAAAGATATTTTAGAATAAATAAAGAAGTAACTTGACAAAAAGGAGCAAGTAAAAATCAATTTTAACAATAAAACAAGATTTATATTTGTAGTAAGCATTGTGTACTTCCAAAAAAAAAATAATAATAATAATAATAATAATAATAAACAAATGTGTAATGAATATCCAAACTAATCATGTACAGCAAATCCTCACTTAATGTCACTGAGGAAAGATGAAAGTACATTTCTAGTCATTTACAATCATCTTTTATTGTTTGTAAAGAAAATTCAAAAACTGATTCTATGAGATGGAAAATAAATTTGGAGGTTGCAAACATAATCCAATTCGAACAACATAAACTGAATTATTTCTTGTATATATTATATAACCTATTAGTAAAATTGGTTTCATTTAATGTCACAGTTTCCAAAAACCTATTAATGACATGAAGTGAGGAATTGCTGTATTTTAAAAAAAATTTATGGACTGTGATTTTATAATCCTTTTTAAAGAAATTTTTAGGTTCTTTTCTCTTGGATAAATATATTCAAAGATAAACTTAACATAATCTCCAAAACACCTCCAACAAAATAACAATTGAATAGATTTATCCTTGTCACTGACTATCCACCTAGTGACAGCTATACAAATGAAAGCCCATAGCTTCAAAGACAAGGATCGAATCCAGTTGGGTTGAAATCTCCAGGAAATTCTCAGGAGAAAGTTCATCCAAACATATCAGACCCATTTCTTACCATCTGGCTGCCCTGCCATGAGTCTGGCCGAACTCTTAATGGACTTGTTAAAAAAAGGCATCTTGGTGGAAAGAATTAAAAAACAAAAACATGTATTTGAATAATCATTCAANTCATTTATCGTTTCACTTGTTAATTTATTTTTTAAACGTAAAATTAAGTTCAATAACCTAAATATTATTTATTAATCTTCTAGGATAATTTTTCATTACTTTATTTGATAAAAATCTTCCTTAGTCTTTATCTGAGATTCATATAAACGATATTTTTACAGTCAATCGACTGCGATTCCATTTTGAATTTTTTAAAAATAAAATTTATTTTTTAAAGAGAAAAAAATGATTTAACCCAGTTTATTTATAAATATATCTTTAATAAAATTCCATAAATTATCCAGGATCTTGCTAACCTCTAACGCTACGTCAGAATCCAAGCTTCCATTCAAGCGTTGTTACTATACTACAATGCGGCGAGCTAGAAACGAAGGGAAATTTCTTGGACAATTGGGGAAATTTCCCACACAAATACTAGGCGTATGCTTTTTATTTACAGGAGGCATCCAAGCAAACTACTAAACCAGCAAACTTTATGGTATCGTTAAATGGACGTATTGTATCAGTAATAAATGGGTTTCTTGTAATGTGGGACGTGTGGTATCGCTTGCGAACGTACTGTTACGTGTGCAGGATTCTGGTTAGCTGTGCCCGGTTCGTTTGTCTTGACCTTCGCCCTGTATCCAAATTCGTCTGCTACATATTCCACAATGCGATATATCCCGTATGCATCTGTATATCCGTAGGATCCAACTACTCTTCCCTTTCCATCGCTGGTCTCTTTACGGAACTGTTGATTCCCATACGAATCTTGCACGTCGTATCCAAAATCGTAAGGTTTGGGAGCGTACTGAAAGTAAAATTAGTGTTACTTTAGTCTGAAGTATATAATCCTGTTTTTAAACCTTAAATTTACCACTTTTAACTGATTTTAATCGTGAATTTTGAGTATTGCTCTGATTAAAAATTTATAATATATTTAGGGATAAAACTTTAATAATCTTACCAAAATATCTGTCAGAATCCTGTAATCTGTAAGTTCATACGGTTTTTCCGGATTTACTTTAGAAACGAGTCCCACGGCTATTCCCGCAACTGCAGAACTAACAGGCACTCCCGCATCCATCAATGCCAAACTACCTCCACACACTGATGCCATCGATGATGATCCTAAAATGAAACAAATAATTTAGTTAAATATTGTAATAAATTAAATTATTCTAAACATATTGAATAAAATTATGTATTAATTTACTAATATTAAAAAAAACTTTTTAAGTGTTTTTTGGGTGCTTATTTAGATTCCAGCAGAATAAAAGGGTAAAACTTACAGTAGCAAATATTTTATGCCATGTTAAATGATCATCATCGGGTTGAAGATGTTCAAAAATGTTTTCTCCCATTTAACATAGGAGAAAACATTTTTTAATTTTTATGGTAAATTTTTATGGTAAATTTTACCTTTTCTGCTGGAATCTGGTTTTTTGATGTTTATTTACTTTGCATATATCCAGTTTATTTGTCACTGAATTTAATTAAAATAATCACAATTAAAAATTGTGATCTTAAAATATATATATATCTTTCTTTAAATCTTACAAAACTTAACAACATTATGCATGAAATAGTTGCTTCCTTAATGAAAAACATTTTCAGCTCTTTGTGAGCCTTGAGTTTCTTAAAATTCTTATAATGCTTTTGAACACTAGTACAAATTTCTGCATTTTAAAAATTGATGAAGTGGTCACATTAAACCAAATATAAAATTTTATAGACATTTGAAACATGTCGATTGAATTTACTATATTTTTTAATAAAACAATTACTTCCATACATTACAAAATCATTTATCAACATTAAACTTTACATATTATTAATAAATGATTTTTTTAACACACACATACAGAAAAATCTTCAACAAATAATTCATTGATTAACTTCTTAATTACTTTGTTGAAATTTAATTAGGCTTCTGACATTCACATATTTCTTTTGCATCATTGCATTTATGACTTCTGTGGCTTATTGATAGTGTACACGAATCTGCTAAAAAGCCCTTAGTGTAATATTTGGCCAACATTCTTCTATAATTTCAGGCTTATCCCAGTGTCCTTTTGCTTCTTTCTTCCATACCAATAATAGCAGTGATCTGATTATATTATTATTGTTCTTTGATATCTAATTATAATGTTCTAATACTTTAATTTTTATTGATCTCAAAATGGAGCCTATATAAAAATAGTTCTGATCTTTTAATGTTTATCTTATTGTGTAAATTCCTGCTTTTGATAACTTATCAAGCTAATTGTTCCCATAACTGTAATGTCACAGCTATTTCACCTTTAACAGTTAAAATTTCTCTTTTCTTTCATGTCATCTTGCTATGGTTGTCCTTTTACTGTAGAATTGATAAGATTTCATATTGTTTTTGTTGATATATTCATTTAATTAGTAAAACAAAAACATTTTTGCTACTTAAATAAGTTTGATTACCTTACAGAAGCAGTCTTTAGTCTCTTTTCATATATGTATATAATTCAGTTTAAAATTTTTGTTAGTTTATGTAAAAATTAGCATTACATACTATTCAGTCAATATCAACTTCTTAGTGTAAATAAATACAAAAAATTAATATATAATATAATATATAAATAAATGAGGATGTTTGTTTGCTATGCACACTTCGGCCGTTCGACCAATTGCTACAAAAATCAGCAGTTAAATTCATATACTACTTCTAACATAGATAATGTCATACATATTATATTCATTGGATTTCTATTTATCAATTAATTTCTGTCTATATTCAATTTGTTGGCTTTATGTGTAGCATCATCTATTGGCAAAAAATTTAAGAAAATAAACTGAATATAATTTTTAAAAATATATATTATATTCACTAAATTACTGTGACAATATAGTGCAAAATAGACTTGCTATTACACCATTACTGTAACAGGTAACAGGTAGCACATAGCACTTGACAGTGGAGTGTAGTGTTACCCTATGAAAAGTCTAAAGTATTTAATTTTCCATCTAACAACTTGGGTTTTTTTCATTTCTAAGTAGTGCTTTCATAATGCTAATGAGCAATTATTTATTGTGACATCGTCACAATGTTTTGCCCCCATACATCATACTTTTCCCATCAGCAGCAGTGTCATGCCAGTTATGCATGTAAGAACGCTAGGGAAAAACTTTGAATTAAAATAACATGACTTGCAATACAAATTGGAGTACAGTTTGTATATAGCTAATCTTGTCATCATGCTCTTAAGCTTTCCATATCTGGTCTTGACTTTCATCTATCTAACTCCATTCTTGAGATTAAGGAAAGACAGACAGCAAGACAATGACAGTGGGAATTTATAAATCCACAATTTTTTCAAATTGTAGCCCAATAAGTACTCTCCAGTAACCAAGTGGTTAAACCACTGAACACCGGTAGTCAGTTGTGGGTTTGTGCATAGCCAATGGACTGGCAACATGCAGTTTTCTGGGTTTTCTTCACATTAGTAACACTTAAATTGGGGCCAGCTTTACATAAATGTCTTTCTGTGATGCATCCCCCTCAGCAGATTGCGTACGTGTCATGTTGCCTAACCAAATAAACCAAACCAATTCTAATAATTTTTCTATATATGCAATATTTATGAGAAAATGCTTAATTAACTATCAGGAAACTTGGACACACCACCCCCTTTCCTGATTTCATCTTTCCTATTAACTCATCAACCCATTGCCCCAAACTTCATTCTCTGATATCTCTGAATTCTTTATTCCTCTACTGTACACAATTTAAAGAATTTTTTAAATGTATTATATTGGTCACTTGGTGTGATAAACCCTTATGTAAGATAACTTTTGTAGTTATATAAATCAAACACTAATAATAGAAGGGTTAGAAGTATGGAATAATCTTAATATTTGTTCTCATTTTTTGCCCGGGCTTACCTGCTATTTGTTTATATATATATACAGCAATTTTTCTAAAAATTCAAAAAATTTTGCTAGTTGTTTCACCACTTTGCAACCTATCCATTATTTTGTGTAAACAACTGAAATTCACAGGAACATCTCACTTCTTATTTATGAGCTCAAAAATCTGAGAGAAATTTTTTCCTTCATGTTAATCACAATAATTTCTTTTCTATAATAGACATAATTTTAAGTGGAAAAGTTTCAAGGCAATAACACAAATTTCATAATTCTATGGTTTTTCTAACTTCTATAAAATGTGGAATTCCATAATGATTGATAATGAAAATTATTCAATTACATTTCTTTCTTTTCAAAATGACTATGACTTTAGTCAGAAATACAACTTTTCTGACTTTATATTTACAAATATTTGGGAATCAGTATAAATTACTTTTTGCTTCTTAGTAATTTCAATAAATTGCACTTAAATCATCCCTAGTTAATCAGAACACTGTACACCACAGAGTTTATGTTTTATAAAAAAATATATGGACAGTTATAAGTAACAAATTGTTACTTCGCTTCTTTTTTGTCAAGATCAATAAAAATGAAATTTATAAAAGTTAGAACATTGTCTTGATTTCATTCTATATGTGCCGGGTAGAGGTTGCCTGGCATATACACCAGAAGAAGTAAGCTTCCTTGCACATTTCACATATATTCCGAACAGTAGACCTCCAGTTTTATAAATACCAAAAACAAAACTGCAACTGTTTCATTTTTTGCTTATCTTATGTTTTTAATAACATATTTTATTTTTAAGGAAAGCTTTGTAGTGTTGGTATGTGACCTTGTAGGTGATTTTTACAGGAGATAACAACTACACATTGTTATTTAAACAAAAGTTTCTAATCAAAGTGTGAGTTAACTTTTTGATGCAAATTAGTTGTTATTTACACTAAATAAAAACCAGCTAATTTTTAATTTAGTTATTACTGCAAAAAAATCACTATGATTCTATAAATTGCATAGTTTTTCAAAATACTTGCATAAATGCAAAAAGTCTCTTTATGAAATCATAAAAATTATTACTGATACCATTCTAATATAACAAGGTCAGAAATTATCCCCTAAGAAAAGTGTAAAATCCAACTCAATAAACCCAATTGAATGAAATACCAATTTCGAACTTTAAGTTCAAAATTGGTGTTTCGTTCAATTCTTTTGATTTGTTTATTTTAAAATGATTTTAAATTCTGTAACTTCAAATGTTTATTGGAACAAGATATTTTTACAAAACACGTTACAAAACTGAAGATATCTTTAACCTGTCCTGCATTGTTCCCGAAAATATTTGTGTTGACCTCACTGACCTATGTGGGCAATCCCGAATATATTCGTGTTTACATCAGAACATTTTTGATACTAGATGTCGCTATACGTCACAATTTTTATATTAAAATGAACTTTTAAAATATAATTTTTTTTGTTTCTATATTATTCAATATATTTATTTTGTTTGTAAAACATAAAAAAATATTTTTTTACAATACAGTAAACACGATTATCACTCAAAAAAAGAAAAAAAATTTTTAGGCTTAACATTGACAAAAATTCAACATGGTGTCACAGGCAACAAATAAAACTTTCAACATCGAATAGGTTAATAAAGCAAAGTATGTTTTTTGTAATAAAAATAAGTAGTTGGTTATTTTAACAAGCAGTGTCAAAGATCTGATTTTTTATTACCAAGTAAGTATAGTGTATTAGATAGTGCAAAGATTTGTGAATTTCAAAGTGTGTAAAAAATTCTTGTAAATGTATTTTTTTATATTTACTTAATAAAAGAGATATGATAAAAATCTACATTTAAAAATTCCTACCATTAGACTCTAAAACTTCTGATGTGAGCCTTATAGTAAAGGGAAAATCTGAAGGAACAACTGGTCTAATTGCCTTTTCCGCTAAAGCACCATGTCCTAATTCTCTTCTGCCAGCTGGACCAAGTTTACCAGTTTCATTTGTTGCATATGAAGGAAACTATTATTTAAAAACAAAAAATTATATTGAAAATTTTACAAATTATTATTTATTGATATTTAATAACAACTCCTAACACAATTTAATTAATTAAATCCAAATGACTTGCCAAATTACTGGACTATTTTTAGACTAAGTTAATAATTAAAAACTAATTATTAATTTAGCCTAAAAATAACCTGATAATTTGGCAGATTTAATAATAATAATATAAAAAATTTTTGAAATAAAATATTAGAGTAATCTATTGTTTATTATTACAAGAGATTAAAAATATATTTTTCTATACTCAACATAAAAACATGGTGACTCACAAAAACAATTCTAAGAAACATACAATATAAGCAAATTTTCAGCATTGAAAAAACTCAAATCATCTAAAATTCTTCACGACTTCTTGATTTTTCAAATAATACAAAAGTTTTAAAAAATTCCAGGCTTTCTATTCTTTCATCTCAGTAATTACTAATAAACTTTTAAATTGCATTTACATAAGAATCTAAATTTAATACAGTCGACCCCCCTATAACGTACGTTCCTATAACGGAAATTCCTATAACGTAGCGAAAAAATTGTAGCAACTTTCGTATAACGTACCTCCTATAACATCGTTTCGCGAGAAGATTGATAGAGTCTGGACCAATAGTGGATGAGCAGCCGAACTACTTTCCTCCGACCCTGCGCCACGCTACGGAGCGGCTAAATTGAGTTTGCTATCGTCTGTTTAGTATTATATATAAATTATATATAAATTAGGTACTGTACATATAATTATATATTAATTATATATAAATTAGGTACTGTATATATAATTATATATTAACTTAATTTATTGTAACTTTATTATAATTATATATATGCTTTCTGCCGCCTGGCAACACGCTACGGAGATTTTAGGCTAGTAAGTTGAGTTTATTATCGTCTGTACAGTATGTAAATTAGGTACCGTAAGTCTAATACAGCACTAATTTTATACATTTCTTGTGAAAGAAACACTTCTTATTCAACGGCCATAAAAATTATTTATATTAATGATGTCTCCAAAGGTCAAGTTATTTTTATGCGAAAAATTATTTATTAGAAATCGCGGCCGCCGATTCATGTGCTGTTCCGCAACGAAAACCAGCTTTAAGCAACGGCGTAGTCGAACGGTACACACTCGGTAAGTAATCCTATAATTTTTTGTTTATAGCATAGTTTATACGGATTACTCCCAAAAAATTATACGTGTTTTGGAAATGCTGAGTGGAATTAGTCTAGAATCGGTTAATTTTATAGAAGAAAACTTTTCGAACAGCCTTAGTCCATAAAGTTCCCACCTATCGGGCTGCGATTGGCTCATGTATTTAATCATTCCTACAACGTAATTTTCGGTTAGCGTGGAACGTATCTAAGCGTTATAGGGGGGTCTACTGTATATGAATAATATATATTTAATAATTTAATATATATATGTCATCATCTTAACACAACAATTAACACCTAAATGCTAATTCCAGCACTGAATGAACAAAAACTTTTAATGCTCAAATGTTTTCGGCTGTCTTTTAGAGGCCCTCCTCAGGATGAAACACACAAAAAAACAGTTCTATCATTTAAAAACTTCTAACTGTCGAATACAGTGTTCCAAATTTTTAAATATTTAAACGATGTACCATACGATATAAAAATCATTACATTTACAACATAAAAATAATTATTTTAAAATAAAGCTATACATAAATTATTATTATAGCGTTATAAAAATTAGCGTAATGTAAACGATGTGGAAATTGTTTTCTTTTACAAAGCAGAAAGATGAAAAATAATTACACATACAATTACTGTTGTGCTTTGTGGCAATGTAAATAATACTTCCATGATTGTGGAATTGGAATATACTCGGAGTTAATGCAGTTTCTCTTCATGGTTTCTATATAAATCTCAATAGCCTCCAATGAGCGTAAGTCGTGTCGGTCGAAGGCCCTATGCAAAAGAGTAGAGTCATCCCAACATTGGGAAACCACTAGTTCGGTAGCATACTGGGCTAGAGCAGTATGCTACCTTCTGCTTACTTATGTATACTTCTGCTTGGACACATCATATTTGTGTTCCTGTATTCTAGCCTCAAGGGATCTGTATGTAGATCCAATGTATGTTATCCTACAATTGAAACATTCATCATTCAAAGGATGCAGTACACTCCTGGCGCTTTCTTATCATCGGACTTGTCCTTAGCATTAGATAAAAGTCAGAAAATATTCTGTTTTCTTTTATATGTTAAGCACACATTCAACTCCTTAGCGATTTTACTAAAAATTTGTTGAAGGGATGATTCGTAAGATAAAACTACCCAGTTGTGCTGTGCATCATTAACCCATGTGTTGGTGGTAGTTATTGTAGATTGCTGGTTGGCAGTTAGGCTGTCTATTAAGGACTGGTGGTACGTTGGAAGCTATTGAGATTGATATAGAAACCATGAAGGGAAACTGCATTAACTCTGAGTATATTCCGATTCCACAATCATGGAAGTATTATTTACATTGCCACAAAGCACAACAATAATTGTATGTGTAATTATTTTTCATCTTTCTGCTTTGTAAAAGAAAACAATTTCCACATCGTTTACATCGGGCTAATTTTTACAACGCTATAATAATAATTTATGTATAGCTTTATTTAAAAATAATTATTTTTATGTTGTAAATGTAATGATTTTTATATCGTATGGTACATCGTTTAAATATTTAAAAATNTTTTTTTTTTTTTTTTTTTTTTTTTTTTTTTTTTTTTTTTTTTTTTTTTTTTTTTTTTTTTTTTTTTTTTTTTTTTTTTTTTTTTTTTTTTTTTTTTTTTTTTTTTTTTTTTTTTTTTTTTTTTTTTTTTTTTTTTTTTTTTTTTTTTTTTTTTTTTTTTTTTTTTTTTTTTTTTTTTTTTTTTTTTTTTTTTTTTTTTTTTTTTTTTTTTTTTTTTTTTTTTTTTTTTTTTTTTTTTTTTTTTTTTTTTTTTTTTTTTTTTTTTTTTTTTTTTTTTTTTTTTTTTTTTTTTTTTTTTTTTTTTTTTTTTTTTTTTTTTTTTTTTTTTTTTTTTTTTTTTTTTTTTTTTTTTTTTTTTTTTTTTTTTTTTTTTTTTTTTTTTTTTTTTTTTTTTTTTTTTTTTTTTTTTTTTTTTTTTTTTTTTTTTTTTTTTTTTTTTTTTTTTTTTTTTTTTTTTTTTTTTTTTTTTTTTTTTTTTTTTTTTTTTTTTTTTTTTTTTTTTTTTTTTTTTTTTTTTTTTTTTTTTTTTTTTTTTTTTTTTTTTTTTTTTTTTTTTTTTTTTTTTTTTTTTTTTTTTTTTTTTTTTTTTTTTTTTTTTTTTTTTTTTTTTTTTTTTTTTTTTTTTTTTTTTTTTTTTTTTTTTTTTTTTTTTTTTTTTTTTTTTTTTTTTTTTTTTTTTTTTTTTTTTTTTTTTTTTTTTTTTTTTTTTTTTTTTTTTTTTTTTTTTTTTTTTTTTTTTTTTTTTTTTTTTTTTTTTTTTTTTTTTTTTTTTTTTTTTTTTTTTTTTTTTTTTTTTTTTTTTTTTTTTTTTTTTTTTTTTTTTTTTTTTTTTTTTTTTTTTTTTTTTTTTTTTTTTTTTTTTTTTTTTTTTTTTTTTTTTTTTTTTTTTTTTTTTTTTTTTTTTTTTTTTTTTTTTTTTTTTTTTTTTTTTTTTTTTTTTTTTTTTTTTTTTTTTTTTTTTTTTTTTTTTTTTTTTTTTTTTTTTTTTTTTTTTTTTTTTTTTTTTTTTTTTTTTTTTTTTTTTTTTTTTTTTTTTTTTTTTTTTTTTTTTTTTTTTTTTTTTTTTTTTTTTTTTTTTTTTTTTTTTTTTTTTTTTTTTTTTTTTTTTTTTTTTTTTTTTTTTTTTTTTTTTTTTTTTTTTTTTTTTTTTTTTTTTTTTTTTTTTTTTTTTTTTTTTTTTTTTTTTTTTTTTTTTTTTTTTTTTTTTTTTTTTTTTTTTTTTTTTTTTTTTTTTTTTTTTTTTTTTTTTTTTTTTTTTTTTTTTTTTTTTTTTTTTTTTTTTTTTTTTTTTTTTTTTTTTTTTTTTTTTTTTTTTTTTTTTTTTTTTTTTTTTTTTTTTTTTTTTTTTTTTTTTTTTTTTTTTTTTTTTTTTTTTTTTTTTTTTTTTTTTTTTTTTTTTTTTTTTTTTTTTTTTTTTTTTTTTTTTTTTTTTTTTTTTTTTTTTTTTTTTTTTTTTTTTTTTTTTTTTTTTTTTTTTTTTTTTTTTTTTTTTTTTTTTTTTTTTTTTTTTTTTTTTTTTGTGTTTTATCCTGAGGAAGGCCTCTAAGAGACGGCCAAAAACGTTCGAGCATTAAAATTTTTTGTTCATTCAGTGCTGGAATTAGCATTTAGGTATTAATTGTCATGTTTAGTATATAGTTCCAGTTTACTTGTGCTAGTCTGATATGTCATCATTTTATTTGATGTTAAAATCTTATTGATAATTTCTTAAAAGTTTTTAATAACATTCTTTAATATCAAATCATTTATTATAAAAATGATAAAACACTTATTTTACAACATATTTAAAAATTATATTTTCCAAAATTATAAATTTTTGTCATACCTCGTAATGAAGCATAAAATTTTTCTCTTTCAAACCTCTAAAATTATAATTACAGATTATTTTAAAAGAAATATCAATATATAAAATATTATATTAATTTTAATATTTAAAAAAATTAATACTTTACTGAAAATTACTAGTTGAATAATTCCAAATAAAATATACTGTATTTACTTGCATAGAAGACAAGGTTTTTATTCATTTTTCACGGCTTCAAAAACCTAGGTCATCCTATATGCATTATTGAAGGATTCTTTGCATTTGTCAATAATTTTTGTGAACGATGTATTTGCATTTTTTACCGGATGCTTACCCTCTTGTATTTAAAAACAAGTATTTTATCTGGGTTGTTTGAATTGTTCTTATATATTGTCAGGAATAAAGATGAGAAGCAATAGGAAAAGCAAAGCCTTTGAATTGAATTCCAGATTGAAATTCCAAAATCACACAAGAGCCTGATATAAATTTTAATCCATTTCCACATGAAAACAGATGATTATTCAGAAATCATAATTCGGAGAAAGTCATAAGTGTAATTGACAGAGAATGGATTCGACTGTTAAGAATTGGCAAATACAGGCTCCAGATTGTCCAGCTTTACATGAACAAATAATGTTGTCAATTTTACAAGATTTTTCCTTAAAGTTTAAAATGACAGTAATTTTTCAGGACAATGTGTGCATTTTCATGCATTTGATATTTTATTTGTAATTAAATGAAATAAAATTAGAATTGTATTAATAAATTTAATTTTCTATATTCTGACCTTTAAAGTCACACCTCGTCCTATATGCAAGATCCTTTTATACGTGAGTAAATACAGTATTTTAATATATTAATATTAAGAGCAAAGTATAAATTTGATTGTAACAATTAATACAGTTCAAATTACTTATATTTCATTTTCTGTAAAATGAAATATAAGTAATTTGAATATTAATGAATATAGTAGTATTATTATTTTTAAATATTTTACGTAAATTTAATTAAATTATATTAGGGACAACAGGAATATTTTTCTGTGCCAAAAACTCTGTAATTGAAAGCACTGTGTGACAAGGTGCATTGTTGTGATGCAACATCCAGGTCTCTTTGATGTTTGGCCTCATGTGAGCAACATGTTTTTGCAGTTTGTCAAGAACCTCACGGTAGAAATGCTGATTGACAGTTTGACCTTGAGGCATGAATCCATTGCTGTCAAAGAAGCACATGAGCATGAGTTTGTTCTTTGACTTGATCATTCTCGCATTTTTCAGCCATGGGGAGGTTGCTGTGTGCCACTCCTCACTTTGGCGTTTTGTTTCTAGATAGTACTCAAAGATTCATGTTTCATCACCCATATTGACATTTGTAAGTAAATCTGAATCATTTTCAATCTGATCCATAAGATCATAGCACTCTTCCTTCCTCTTGTCTTTCTGCTGAGAAGCGAGGTTTTTGCAGACCATTTTTCACAAATTTTTCTCATCCCCAATTCGTTAGTCAAAATTTAATAGACAGTTGTGTGGTTCAAATTCAGCTCATCTGCAATCAATCTGACAGTTAAATGACAGTCAGATCACACAAGATCTCTGATTCATTCCACATTTGTATCAGTTCATGAAGTTGATGGCCTTCCTCTTCAACAGATTCTCAGCCTTCTGAAAATGCTTTAAACCAGAGTTTCTCAACAGGGGCGATATTGCCCCCATGTGGGCGTTTTCCCATGTTGAAAGGGCGATTTGTAACAATTTATATTTTGGGGAGCGAAAAACAACTTTCTGATAGATATGGTAAAACATTATATTAAGATTAATTAGATATTTTATTAGTTATATCATACAATAATTAAACAAATAACATTATACTATTCACTAGTCTATTCAATGCAGTACAAATTTGGCGTTAGCCTTGGCATCGAAATTATAAAGTAAAAAAGGGCGATACTGCGTGACGGTTTTATTCATGGGGGCGATGATTTGTTAGAGGTTGAGAAACACTACTTTAAACCATCTAAAAACCTGGGATCTTAACAAAGCAGTTTTCCTGTAGGCCCTTTGAAGTTTTGCAAATGTTTCAGTGGCTCCGAGTTTAAAACAAAACTTGCTCACACAATGTTGTTTGTAACTATGTTCGTTCATTTTCAAGACGCACAACAAACTATCACTTTGCAAAATGTGCACTCACAGTCCACTAGTTAATGTGACAAGGTTTTCATTTGAACTGAAGCTATATGGAACTTTGTCCTTACACCACTGCCAAAAAAACCCCCCACAGTGTTGTCAGATTGTTTGCAATGAAACTAGTCTCATTACTTTATTTACAGACCTTGTACAGTAATACCCTGAATTTACGCGATAGGTGGGAACGAGCAATAACCGCGTAAGTCGAATTTGCATAAGTTGGGGTATAATTTTGCATATAAATACATACAAATAATTTTTAATTGGGGCCGGAGACTAAATAAAACAATAATTTAGAAAAAAATGTTTAATAAAATCTTAGATAATATATATGTATAACAAATTATATTATTATACAATTTTTCACATTTATTTGACTATCACACCATAATTTTAACATTGTTTCCATCTCAGCAATAATACAGCGACTAGAAATAATCAAAGCAGATAAATCTAAACAAATAATTATAGTTGAGCAGGAGTGGGTTAAAAAGAAAGAATAAGAATTAGTTGATAGTAGTAAATTTAGAGAACTTCCAATTGGCCCCATAGAAGTAATATATAAAGAATTAAAAAATAGAATTACCAAACTATACAAACTAAAAAGTTTAACTAAAGCAGAAAAAGAGTTTATCCTGAGAGAAGACAACGATCGTACACCGAAAATGAAGATACAACTTAAAACACGTAAAGCAGATGAAACTGTCCATCCTATAGTAGATTTCAGAAACACAACATTATATAATCTTGAGAAAATTTTAAAACAAACTCAAAATATACCAAAATTCTAAATTTGCCATTTATAATACTGATGAACTACTATATGATATTAAACAGATAGATATAAAAGATACATACAGAATTGCAAGCCTAGATATAATTGATATGTACCCTTCCATAATATGGGAAATAATTGAACCTAAGCTGACACAACTTAAAATTGAACCTGAAATAATTGACCTAATCAAATTTACCTATAGAAGCAATTACTTAGAAATAAACAGTAAATATTATACACAGAATAGTGGAATTAGTATGGGGTCTGTAATAGGACCGAAACTAGCTGAGATCATAATGATAGATATAGATAAAGAAATAAGTGACATATAAGATATAAAGTTCTACAGAAGATACAGAGAAGACATCTTAATAATATATGATGAGGTCAAGATTAACACTAATGAAATCAGAAATATAATAAATAATATCCATAAAAATATTCAATTTAAAATAGAAGAAGAAGATAAAATTACCACCAGTATATATTATTTAGATATTACAATTAAAAGAAATAATACAAATTTCGAATTTGAACCGTTTAAAAAGCAGTGTTCAATAAATACTACAGTTCACTATAATTCTAACATACCACTTCATATAAAACAAAACATATTTAATATGGAATACACTAAGATCAAAAATAGAACTAGTATAAAAACTAAGCAAATTGAACATTTAAATACATTAAAGAAAAAAATTTATACTTTCAGGATACCCAAACAGAATTCTTAGTATTTGGGAAACAGAAATAGCTAAAAAAACAGATAAAGCAATAAGAATAGATCCTAAACAAACAGAAATAAAATGCATTCATTTCCCATACATAAAAGGCTTAAACGAAGAACTCAATAAAGAAGTCAAAAAAATTAATGTAAAATTAGTACCAACATATGGTAAGCTACTCTCCAGATTAAGTGCAAAACAAGTTAACAAAACAAATATAATAAAGAAAGAAGAAAGTAAAAATGTAGTCTATAAGATTCCGTGCACATGTGAAGATAAAAAAATTTTATATAGGTGAAACTAAACGTAAAGTTAAAGTAAGATTGAAAGAACATATAGCCGATTTGAAATATCATAGACTAAATTCTGCTTTTCATGAACACTGCCTTTTAAATAATTGTAATATAGACGAAAATAATATAGATATTTTACACAGAGAAAAAGATACATATAAAAGAAAATTCAAAGAAAGTATAGAAATAATCAAAAATCAAAATAGTATAAATAAAAATCCTAGCATCTCTATAAACGAAAACTGGTTAAAAATTTTATATTAATTGTATTCACTAGATCCAAACTATTATTATTGTGAGCAATGTGCTAATTAATAATAATTATCGAACTGTTAAATAAATCAACAATAACAAAAAACTGTAATGTTGTAATGGGAGTCA